GACCCTTAGATCCTCTTCGTAGCCCTGGTGTGTGGGCGCAGGCAGTTGCAACATGGTCGTTACCAATAGTATGATGGCCATCATTCTGGTTCGTGTTGCCACCATGGTTAGTTGTTGATGGATCGCAATATTCTAGATTAAGGATTTGGTAATAATTGGTTTATTCAATATGTGTTTTATTTATGGCGACCACTAAAATGTCGGCCAATATTTCATTATTTAATTGTAATTTGATATTTATTTTATTAATTTTATTTATTATAAACGTGTTATACAGTACGTGTCAATACGTGTGCCGTCTGTTATTATTGGCGCTAAGTTTTGACTCAAAAGTTTTGAGATAAGTTTTAATAATTTTGTTTTTTATTAAAAATAATTTAATAATAATAAGGCACTGTATTTTTACGAGATTATAATTAATTTTAAGCTTTAATTATTAAAGTGGATACTACTGTACACCATTGTTTCGGTACTTTCTCTGTAGTTTTTACCTATTACTATAGTTATTACTTTCTTATGAATCTAGAAATATCTATTTAATCAATGGTTTTGTGTAGAAATGTCAGTAATGTTAATGCACTCAAAGTTTTCATTACTTTGACCGTACAATAGGTATATTGACTGAAATGGTCTGTGAAGTAATGGCATTCTCCCAGATCTGTGTTATATTGAATTTTGTGATTTTGTTTGACTTATTTAAAATATTAAATGTTTATATAATCATATGATCATTCAGCCCATGTGCAATTAATAAATCTCAAATTCTTTGGCACCAAAAACCAAGATGTTTATAATATTATTGTTTAAAGTAAAAATCTGTTTTTATTCATAAAAATCGTTTTATTTATTAAACATTTTTAGATTAAGTTTTAACAGAAATTTTTATTTCATTACATAAAAACAAATTTCACTTAAAAAATTAACACCAAATATCTTCATACGATTTCTACAAATTTCTGTAATAAATGCAAAAATAAGTTTTATTAAGAATTTCCAAAATTAGATATTTAATAAGAAGTTTTATAACAATATAAACACTTACAGTGCGATCCATCGGCCCCGGGATCTCTCATTTACAGCACTCGCAGTCACAACTGCCTCCCTTACAGTTGCAGTTATCACATCCGCCGCACAGAACTATTGACTTCATGTTTCACAACAAATCGCTATTTCTTCACAACTTTGGAAAATGTATTTTTTTGTTTTCAAAACAATTACTTGTTTTTGATTATACCGGACAGAGATTCGCACAGCTTTTTAAACCATGTTCATTAAGTGCTGTGCGCAAAAGTATGCGAGTTGTGTGCAAAATATCATGGTGTTGTGTGCAAAAATTGAGCGAGCTGTGTGCAATAAAATTACATATTCATTTTGATTAGTAAAACAACTATCACCAAGGTTGTTTTAATTGAACTTGCATTTTTTTCATATCAAACTGAATTACAATATACAGTACGTATATGAAGAGACACAACTAACTCTGAGGGGGAGGGGTTTGGGGTGAAACAATTCATAGCAATGTTGCTAGCAATTAATAGAATTAAAATATCAATAGTAAAGTTACAATGATCACTAAATGACAGTTGCTCATTTGGCAACCCTTTCAAACTCCCCCTGGCTAATTAGCAATGATAATTTATGACAAGTTCTTTATTATATAAGTTTTAAAAAACTAATCTTTGTATTTAACGATTAGATAACTGCAGTGAGAATTGCTGTTATAAATGTTATAGCACGCGAATGATCTTGGTGATACCCATAACTCTTACAAGCAATGATTAGATAATTTTTATTGCACACAACTCGCTCATTTGTTGCACCCGACACTACAATAATTTGCACACAACCCGCATATTTTTGCGCACAGCACTCAGTTAACGGGGTTTAAAAAGCGGTGCGAATCTTCCGGAATAATCAAAAACAGGTAATTGTTTTGAAAACAAAAAACATTTTCCAAAAGTTGTGAAGAAATAGCCATTTGTTGTGAAACATGAAGTCAATAGTTCTGTGCGGCGGATGTGATAACTGCAACTGTAAGGGAGGCAGTTGTGACTGCGAGTGCTGTAAATAAAGTCACCAAATGCTGTAAATTTGACCGTGGTAAGTTATAAACATCAAGCTAGTATTGTATAATGTATTGAAAATGGTATTATAACTTAATAAATTATCATTTATGTCAATGGTCATTTATGAATTACATTTAACATCAACAATTTAACAATTTCAGGTTTCCAAATACTTACAACAAAATTATTTATTGATGATATTGGCATTCACTAAAATCAACGTAACATTAATAATGATTTTTCAATATAATTTAAATATTTACTTTTATTAATTAAAATAAATTTCTATTTAGTCAAAATTAATAAATTATAAGATATATTTATAATTGTAATAATAATTATAATTATGTCACTTGTAATGGAAATGTCGGTTAAATTTGTTTGTTTTAATAAATAAATATTTTCGTATTTGCGATGAATGTGTGTTTGATATGAGATTTGATTTGGAATTAAAATATTTATAATTTGATAGTTGTTTCATAAATGTAAACGTAATAATAATATATAACATAACAAGCATTTATATTATAAATACACAGTACAGTACACTATATAAAATAGACAATAGAATTTAATAGTGTACACTATTCTATAGTGAACTATCGCACAGTTATAAGCAACGATATACCGGGACATGCAGTTAACACATAATGAAAAGTTGGTTTTTTCATATATGGGTTTCTACCAAATTATTTCTATCAATACCGTTCACTATAAAAAGAGTACACTATAGTATAGTGACTATACAACCCTATCTGTATATAGTAAATGACTGTGGTTTGTGAGACTGGGTTTATTACAATTCAGACATAGGGTGACCAAAAGTATCTCTCGGCCACCGGATCGTCGATAGCGTCCGGCTGTTCATTGATAAGTATTTTCCAAAATAATTTCGGTGGCTTTGGTTGCGAGCCCTTAATGGGTGAGCCGACCACTTGCCAGAACAGTTTGGCTATACGATGGGGCTGTAGGGCTGCGGCTGCCGTAGTGATGGCTGTGGTCGAGGGCGCCGGCATTGTGGCCGTGCAGTTGCCCGCCTGTAGTGGCAAATGATGGCTCACAGAGTTGTCCAACTTTGTGCCGTAACCGCAATACGTGAATCTGTAATGATATGATGGTGTAACATTAATATTGGTTCATAATTTACATATATTCATTTATTCAGCATATATCGCTATAATGGTTTTGATACTTATACTACAGTAATAACAGTAATTTATATAGAAATAACAAATTTTAAAAAACTAATGTAAAAATAGTCGTATTAGGAAAATGTTTTAAGTTATTTTAATTTGTATTTAATTTATAACTTTATTTACTATAAATGAATACATTATAACGAGTAAATGAATATAAAACATAATCAATACTAACATATCTCCGTCGCTATTAATTAATTCAATTTTATCGATATTCCAGTGCTCTTTACCGCTATATATCCAGCCCTTGTATTTAGTATACGTTAGCATAACATGGGTTACGTTATGGATGTTCGGGTGCGCCACTACTAGACCCTATGAACACAATGATCAGTACATTTATGCAAAATAATTGTATTAATTATAATTTAATGTTAATTTATAAATATTTTACGAGATTTTTTAAAAATTATAACATAAACATCAATTATTGCTAATCCCTACCATCCCATGCAGTGATTCAATACCTGTATAAATCCCGTATCCTTGATCTCGTCGGCCTCATTGGTCAACACAAATGTCTCATTTTTACCATCTTTGGCCACAAATAATATCTCAAGTTTACCCCAAGTGCTGCCCTGACCTGTCGTACTGATTACACGTATCTTGAATTGATTTGCTGACCAAAAGGAAAGTGAGAAATAAATTTAATTAATTTACCAATAAAGTTTTATGTTATCTTAATCCTATAATAAATTAGTAAATGCTACTTAAAATGCTTATGGTAACTTTAGTGTTACCTGAGATATTATATAATAAGATTATACTGTGATTATAATACATGTAAGAGTAAATTAAATCGTGTTTACGACAAAATGTTATGTAATATTAAATTTTTGATAAACACATTATATTGTGGCAAACAATTAGTGATAAAAGCACTTTATATTAAATCCATATAAACGCGAAATTAATTCATACATTTCATTGATAAGTGTGAAAAACATGTTTGCTTAGTGTGGCCGACAAATAGTGGCCATCAAAAGTGCAATTTACGGGAATGTGTGGGCGGGAATGGCAGGAAATTACCGTATTGCCTATTGCACGCTATATAATGTTGTTTTGTAGTTCATTAAATTACATGCTTATTTTTGAATGTGTGATGTTTTTCTTATACAGTATTTGTCAAAAATTTTGAGCGTTAAGTAGAAAATCTAATTCCAAGGTTAAAATTTCTAACTTATTAGTTAAAAAAAACTAAACTCATGTTTCCGGTGATTTGTTCGTATTTAATTCAGTAGTTATTGTTAATTTTATGTTTTACTACCTTATTTATATCTTTACTACATCTCTTTGTATAACATCTTACTTGTATTATAATTGATACATATTTAAAAAAAATGTAGCAAGGCACAAACAATAATTACAACAAAAAAAACAAAATAATTAAGCCAAAATATTTACAACAAAAAGGTTCATTCTCGCGAGTGACCAGGTACATGGCGCCACGGCCATTGCTCTTATGGGAGAAGTAGCCCATATTGGAGCACTGGGTGCCGGTGGGGCCGCACCCGAAACAGTCGCCGCGCAGATAGTTCTCGTAGGTATCGCAGGCGAAGGCCCGGAAAGTACACGTCTTGATGATGGAGTCGATGAAGAAGCGAAACGCCCGGCGATGGTTACACAGACTGTTCCACTTGCCGTATATGATGTCCGATAGGGCGCCCATAAACACCGAATTGCAGCCCACCTGCACCCGACCCCCGTTGGGGTAGAAGTCCACGTGACCCATGGGGGCGAACGAGCCGAGACCTCCGCGCAGGAAACTGTCGCCGTTTGAGTGAATCACGTCCACGAAGTTGGCGTCCGTCGGGTCCAGTCGTACCCGCGATGGATATCCTATAGGGTTGTGGAGATACAGGTGTAGGGTTTCACGTGTATGTGTTTTATGTGTGGTGTTTGTATGAGGTGTGAGGCCTGACCTTCAAATAGTGGAGCCGCGGGGTCGAGACCAGTGATGCGGCTAATATTGCTAATTTCCATGCCGGTAAATCCGGCCACGTGTGCGCCCAACGAGAACCCTATGAGATGATAGTCTTCGGGCGCCAGACCTTTGTTGAAGTTAATCATACGTAT